GAAATCCTTTTGCAAATTAAGTACCATCCAAATATAATAAAGGAACATTATTAAAAATGTGTTTATGAGGAAAAATGTGTTTATGCTCACTGAGCTCATGTCACTTCCACAGAAGCAGTTCAATTAGGATTTTCCAAGTTAAATAGCTCAAGTGCTTACAGCTATATATCTCGTTAAATCAGCGACTTTCCACCAATGTGCTGCCAGACCATTTTTTTATTTTTTATTTTATTTATTTTTTAAAAATATATTTTATTTATTTTTTACAGAGAGGAAGGGAGAGAGATAGAGAGTTAGAAACATCGATGAGAGAGAAACATATCCTACTGTCTGTGTCCATGAGTTATACATATATGCATTCAAGGTCTTTGGTTGATTACCTCCCCCCGCCCCAGCCTCCCCCACCTTCCCTCTGAGATTCCGCCCTCTGTTCCATGCTTCCATGTCTCTCGCCAGAATATTTAGTCAGGGGCACTGCCCTCTTTTCCCTTAAAATTGTCAAATAAAAAAATGACAACAACCAATACAACAATAGCCATCTGTTGTGAATAAATCAAAATTATACCTATTATTTGGTCAGATTGGCAAAATATATAATATTCTTTGATGTGCCGCAGAATTTTAGTAATTAGTGTATTTGCCATGAGGTGAAAAGATGGGAAATTGCTGCATTAAATCTTGCCCCTCTGATGTGTGCAGATGGTCAGGACAACTCTGCCTGCAGGACAGGCAACCATGGTGCAGGGCGCTGTGTTGCTGTCTGCCCAGCATCACCCTGAGTAGCTAGCCATTCCCCACTGGAGCCTGCCCCTGACCTCTAGTGTGAGAGAGCCGCCCAAGAAAGGCTGGCCGGCATGCTTTATTTAGGGATTTATTTAAGGATAGGGATCTGGACCCAGCCTAACAAACCGGAGGACTCCCCCCCCGCCCCCCCTCCCCCCAGCTGTTGCTAAAACTCTCAGGGAAAAGACTTCCCTTTCCCCCAGAAGTTCGAGCTGTCAGAACCAAACAGCTGAAGCTGCTTCTGGCCATTTCCGGCACCCTGTGGGAGAACCTGCTCCAATGAGACCTCCAGGGACAGAGGAGAGAGACAGGGTGGCCAGCCCGCCCAGTCTGACATTCCTGAAAGACCCATTCCCAGGACCCACCCTCAGACCTGGGCAAACAGGGATGGCTGGTCTCCCCACTGAGAGATGACCTGCCAAGAAAAAGTCCCGAAAATATTGTTCCAACTTTGGATCCAGCTTTATTCGGAGCCCATCCTTGAACATCTTAATTCTGTGACTCAGTAAGTTCTGGTGTCTGTTGAAGCAACTTTGAGTTGCATTTCTGTCACTTGCAACTCACAGAGTGACAACACATTCCCAAAGAATGTGCACATATAAATAAAACTCAAAGTTTAAAAAGCAATATAAATCAAAGTAGAAAGCATGCTATTTTTAGAATTGAAAAAAAATGAGGAAATGTGATCATGTGGTCACTTCTGAGGTTGAGATAGTTTATTTAATGAAGGAACTTTGAAAAAATGTATACAAAGTGGCAAAAGGAAGAGAAGCAAATGAAAACATTATGGAAGAAAAACGTCATGGCATGAGAAAGGTCAGAGTCATGCATGAGTGAAAATTCACAAGAACAAACTTCGGGAGAAAAAGGAGCTGAAGCCAAATCCTGTAGCAGCTCTGCCTTCTCAGGAGAGATGGCCCCGCCCTGAGTGGGACAAGAGGACAATGTAGACATGGGAAGGGAGAAAACCAGAACACCACGAGCTTCTGCAGATGCTAAACAATTCCACAAGACTTGAGGCAAAAATCTAAATAGCCACTGACACCCTGCCCTGGAGCAGGTAGGGAAAAGAAAATGCTAGAGGAACAACCAGAAAAGATAGGGAAAATGGGCCTTTCTCAAGGTGACATAGTAGCAACAATTACGAAGTTCTGAGAAGTTAGAAAATATGTGTGCACCAGCATTGGGGGGCAGGAGGGGGGCGGGGTACTGCTGGCAGGGCAGGATGTTTGTATTGTGAGTCAAAGAAGTTTGTGCTCCTGGGTTTCCTTTGAGAATATGGCCAGAGGGAGGGGTCTAGACAATATGTCTGTCCACCAGCCACAGAGGACAGACTGACAGCCACTCTGTCTGGCCTCCCTGAAGAAGGAAGTGAGACTGGGGCTCCCAAGGGACTTGTTCTGGACCCACCATTTCTATTTCTAGTGCAAAATGGGGAAGGCCTAAGGGTTGAAAACCAAGAGGACAGTCATTTTCTCAGTAGAAAGGCAAGGTAAAAGCAGCGTGAAGGTACTCGATTTAGTGCTACCTCTGTAAATGTCTTTTTTGAGTCCCACCAATTTTAAAGGATTTTCACTTTGTTTTCTGGTATCTCATTATCGGGTACTAACAGGGCTGTGCTACCTGCCTCCCTGGGGAGATGGTCTCTTGGCAGAGCTCTCACCCCCAATTTCCTGCAAGGGAAATGGAATGCGTTCGCCACAGGAAATGGGCAACTCGGAGTCCAGACTCCCCAGCACTTCCAGCTTCCTAAGAATTCCCGATAGCCGAGTGCTGGGTGTGTGTGTGGTCTGGACATTGCATCTTCTGTAAGGAAAAGCATGTGTAGGAACAAAAGGGGTCTCCCTACAGGGGCCCTCGTTCTGTAGCTGGGAGACGTGAGGTTCGCAGAGGAAGCCAGCGTGCTACGCCGAAGACCTATAGCAAACGTGGTTTTCTCTCCTGTGTCTTTCTAAGCATCATTCTCGGGCTCTCACTTCGTCTATTTGATTAGGGCTGGGGAAGGAGAAAGGGGCTAAGGAAAAAAAGGGGGATGGTGAAAGTTTCTTTCTTCCTTCATTTTCTTACACTGATTTGACATTGATAAGACTGACCAACCCTTCTGTCAAAGTAATCGCAGACACTTTATGCTAAACAAAACCCATGTTTTTCTTTTCTTAAAAAGCGACAATTCAGGCTTTGCTAAGTTACAAAATGCTTTCGTCTCAGTATGATAGCTAAGGAAACACATGGCTAGGACCAAACTTTTGTAAATCTGAAGGGAACAGTGAAAATAGAAAGGGGATAAATATTTAACTATAAAAATCAGCCTCTAAGTACCTAATAATCTCAAATTCAATGTCAACGATGGAAAAAAAAACGGGAGAAGGAGGTCAGGCAAAAGACAATGTGCAGGACCAAAGCCAGCCCTGGTCCCCAGGCCAGTCACCCGGGACTCAGAGCCCAAACACAGTATTTCCCAGAGGTCGCTGGAGTGTCTGTCGCCCAGCAGGCCCTGCCCTGCGGCTGAGAGCACCTACCAGTGTTTCCAACTTGGCAGCCGCCCAAAAGGCAGAACAATGATTGCCTTTCTCTTGCCATAATAATGCTGTCGAGTTCATCAGAGATCCATTTTGTATTTTTCATTGAGTTCAAAGCATGCTGTTTCCTTCAGGAGAAATCCTATTGTGTTTTTTATAGTTTTAAAAATAGTTGATCTACTCGATTAGTAACGTAGGAATATTTTTGATGAAAAAGAAAAGAGCTTCTCCTAGAGCCTCATTATTTATCTGAAGTAAAAAAAAAAAACAACCCATAAATATATATACATACTAGTGGCCCACTGCATGAAATTCATGTACATTAAAAGGAGATTAATTAGAGGAAATATTTTAATATTGCTATTTGCCCTTTCTCTATAATAGAAGTGTCAGAGATGAAAGAAAATTAGTGAAATGTATATGAAAATCTTCCTCCTCTCAGAGTCTGGGGCCCACCATGTGACCCAAAGTCAAGTCCCCACCCACCCATGATGCCTCAAAATCACATGAGACCCAGACCCAGATGGCCCCACCCTCATTGGGCAAGACCCAGACCCGGCTGGCTCTACCCTTGTCAAGCCCTGCCAGGCGGGTGGCATGGCCTGAGGTCCCCTGTCAAGCCCTGCTAGGCAGGGAACACAGCCTGAGGTCCCCCACCCTGGGCTGGGGAGGGGGTGCACCTTGAGGTCCCCTGTCAAGTCCTGCCGGGCGGGGGCACGGTCAGGGATCCCCATCAAGCCCCGTCAGGAAGGGGGTGCAGCCTCAGGGCTCCCATCAAGCCCCACCTGGTGGGGGGCGCAGCCTCAGGTCCGCTGTCAACCCCCACTTGGGGGGGGGCGCAGCCTTAGGCCCCCTGCCTTGGCCCAGCGCCACGCAGCCCTCAGGTCCCTGCTGATTGCTCGTTAAGGCTCATTACAGGAACTTGGCCTCCGCTGTGGGTGCAGCTCTCTTTGTGATGGTAAACTCCCAATATATATGTATTTTTTTTTGTAAGTCTACACCTATGATTTGGTACAGGCATGAGTCCATATATTTCTCAGTTTACTGGGAAACAGCGCTGTGGTACCATAGTAAAGCCTTATACTTTGCCATTCATTCATTCATTCATTCACTCACTCACCTAATATATATTTATTGAGCATTTACTTTGAGTTCTAAACATTGAGGACACAGGAGTTAATAAGATAGAAAATGGCCTGACTTCATGGAGCTAATGCAGAGGAGGCCAAGAACAAACCCATGCAAATAAGTAAATATGACAATTCCAGAGGGTGATAAACTCTTGGAAGGAAAGACAGGGTGGGGTGGTCAGCTCAGAGGACATCGGGCTGACAAGAAGGAGCCTGTGCCTGTGGAGGGGTAGGCAGGAGAATGGGCGAGAAAAAGGCCCTGGGGTTAGAGCAAATTTGGGAGAAAGAACTCTAGTGGGGATTGAAAACAATAATATCTATTGTGGTAAAGACTTCATAAGATGATAATTGGAAGAGAACATGATGAACTGCAAAGCAACACCATTGAAAAGTATTATTTGGCTGTGCTACAATATTGTATTATCACATAAAAAAACATCATTCTGCTTTTAGAAATGGTTAGGGTGAGAACTGTGTGTTTTAGTTTTCATCTTCTACTCAAATGAAAAGAACCGGCTCTCGAGAAGCCCTTTCAAGGGTGGCATCACCATCACGCCAAATACGGAGCTCACATACCTGGAATCCTATTGAGCGTCACCCAGAAATGCTCATCAGGACTGAAAGTGTCCTTGGACCACTGGAGCAGATCAACAGCCCGTGGGTCACGGAGAACAAAGTTGGAGAATTCTCTTGACAGAGCAACATAGGCAGAGCCGAAGTAAATGGTGAGGTTATGGGGAGGGGGCGGCTTCAGAGCTGCGGTTCTGATCACATAGGAAAGCTCTTTGCCCAGATGCTCTCGGTGGACATATTTAGTCCGTCCAATAGCATGAGCCGGAGGCAGCACCCCCGGGGTAATGTTTTTCCCTTTGAAGCCTTTCAGATACTGAACTATTTCCTTGTTGGTTTTCAGGGGGAAGTCTTGCCCACAGGTGTTGATGGCGTACTTCCACGGGACCTCGGAGGCCACCAGGTCTCTCAGGCAGTTCAGGTCCGCCTGGAGCCTGGAGATCCCACCATAGACAACCGGCTCCATCTTGGAAGCCAGAAAGGCATTCGGGAAGCAGCTCAGCAATCGCTCCACCGCATCTTTAAACTCAGCTGCTGCCTTTTCGTCCACATGGACACAGTAGACATTTTGGGGCATGTAAATAGCTCTGAAGAGCCTTACAAAGGTATCAAAATTGTGATGGATGACCATTATGTATGCCAAAGGGAACCCAGCCTCTTCTTTGGATAACGGGGCCGTGATGTAGTGGCTCTGGGTCAGATATTCTCTGCATGAAGACTTCTGATATATCATCAGTTTGTCTCGCCACAGGAAAGGTGTTTTGCCTTTGATAAAGGATGCGCAAACTTGAGTCAGCATCAGAGTGTCCGAATTATTCAGCCTCTGGAAGCCTTGCTCTCCCCCAAATATGAACACGTAGAACACGATAAAAATTATGACACAAGAGACAGAAACTATAAAAAGGTAACGCATCGATGAAGACATGCCTCACAGAAGAGCAAGATTTCAAAGACGGTGGAAATCTGTAAGTCTTTTCCCAAACTTACTTTTTCCTCTGAGTTCTTATTTTGGTACATGCTCCAGCCATTTCTACCCTGGAGGAGACGCTGGGAGTGTATTCAGTTTCATGCCCGGAGTCCAGCGGCAGGCTCCGTCCCCATGCTGACATTAGCAACTGATCCCGCCTGGTTCTCGGCCTCTCTCAAAACGCCTTTGTCTCAATCCCAGCAGCAGGTTCTTAAGCCCAGCCTTGCTGCCTCCCTCTGCTTCCGGGCTTGCATCCGCGAGCTGTTTCACTGAAACTCTGCTAACTGCTTTCCCCTGCAGATTTAGTTTCTCAGCTCTCTTTTCTTTCATTTCCCATTCCCCCGCCTCTCCTTCTCTCCCCGCCCCTTGTTATTGCCATTCAGGGAATTAGCACAGTGAAAGGCAAAGTTGAAATGATGTGTTCTGGCAGGCAGGCGTTTCCTGCTAGTCATCCGACTGGCTGCAGCACTCACCCCTCTCGCTGCTCGGGCAGTGATCCATACATAACCCGGTCGCTCGGCTCTCCCAGTGTGATCCGCGGAGTATAATGTAGCCTCCACTCTCAACTATGCTGCTTCAATGAAAACAAGTAACTGAGGTGACAAGGAAAATAAAGCTCATCCCTCCTGGCTCCTCCATAAAGCTTTCCTGCCCCGCCCTACCGTGTTCAGCTCCAGTCCTGGGGGATCTGGATGGCAGGGATCCTGGCCCTGTGACTGAGATCAGGTGACAGCGCCTCTTCTCCCCCTTCCAGCATCCACTGTGGGGCCTGTCACAGAATGTCGGGGTCACAGGAACAAGTTTTGAGCTTCACACCCTGATTTAGATGAGACCTTAAAGCTTTACTTGATTCCTGGCCACAAGTAACAGCTCAGATTAGGGAACCTTGGGGCTGTTCCGGTTTTAACCACCCGAAGAGCATCATCAGACATGTTCCTGCCCGGTTAAGTTTCTCAACCATCTAGTCCTGGGAGATGAATATTGATTTCCCTATTCGCAAATAATAGTGTTTTGGCTAAGGAGTACCAAGCTCTTCCACTTACAGCGGTTCTCAACCTGTGGGTCGCGACCCCTTTGGTAGTCGAACGACCCTTTCACAGGGGTCGCCTAAGACCATCCTGCATATCCGATATTTACATTAAGATTCATAACAGTAGCAACATTACAGTTATGAAGTAGCAACGAAAATAATTTTATGGTTAAGTCACAACATGGGGAACTATTTAAAGGGCCAGAAGGTTGAGAACCACTGAAAAAGGTTCTTTCCTTCCACCGTTCCCTTTTGCACCAGTGCTTTTTACATGTAGGTTCATATATTTTACTTAAAATTACTCTGAAGCACCAGTTCAACTACTAAATGCCTTCCCATTGCTCCTCATTGTTTATCTGAACTAAATGCCTTAGTGCCTCCACCCTAGTCTCACAATGGAGACTGAGCCCCACCCCACCCCATGAAGAAATCCTGTCCTTTAATGCACGCTCTCTCCTTCCTTTTGACAAGTCTCTGCCCTGCTGTCAAAGAACTAGAACAATACAGGTGTGGGGGTTGCCTGCTTTCAGTCAGCACCCACCCCCACGGAAGGGCACAGGGCTCCCTGAGCACACCGTCTGTTTCCTTCTTCTCACTGTCATTGCTCCCATTGTGCATTCTCCCAGTGTGGACATTCTTTCCTCTCTGTCTTTCCTCTCCTCCTTCTTTAAGACCCATCATAAATACACTCTACGTAGCCTCCACCATTGGATTTGTAGGCAAAGTGGAAAAAGAAAATGCAGCCATTATGTGGGTAAAGCAGATCAATCTCATCCTTAGTGTTTCTAAGGAGCAAAGCCAAGAGAACAACTGAAATAACAGGATAACAGAAAATGCAATCCCAAGCTTCTCTTTTTCTAAATAATTCCTTTAAATATTAGGTTATTGTATGTTCTATTTCAAAACAACGGAGAGTAATTTCAGTATCTAGTTTGGCAAAGCCTGTTGACTTAGAATGAGTGTTAAAAATATTTATAGTTTGCCCTAGTCACTTTGGCTCAATGGTTAGAGTGTTGGCCTGCGGGCTGAAGGGTCCCGGGTTCTACTCCAGTCAAGGGCATACCTCAGTTGCTGGCTTGATCCCCCAGCCCCAGTCTGGGCATGTGCAGGCAACCAACCCGATCCCTGGTCAGGGTACATTCAGGATTTCTCTCTCTCTCTCTCTCTCTCTCTCCCTCTCTCCCTTTCTCTCTCTCTCTCTCCCTTCCTCCCTCCCTTCTACTCTCTCTAAAAGTCAATGGCAAAATTATCCTCCAGTGAGTATTAACAGAAGAGAAAAATATATATTTGCAATTTGACCAAGTGCTCAATATACAGATACATAAGTTAATTGGGCCAACGGGGCTGTTTACACGATTATTTCCAACTGGCCAATAATACAGGGGTTCAATATACACAGGCATTAACAATGTTTCTATAGTAAGAAATGTAGACACTGGACAAATTAAGAACTTTGATGATACTTTTGTATTCAGTCCATTACTTCAAATGCATTGTTCGTGTGCTGAAAATATACCTGTTTTTCCTCTCTGCCCTTTCAGCTGTCCTTGGGCCAACTTTCCCCACCCTCAGGTCCTGTTCTGAAGAAATCCCTATGGGAGAACTTTTTAAAAACCTGTTGCTGCAAAGAGCAAGGCTGTTACCTTTCCTTCCTCATAGGCATCTGGTCTGCTTGTCTGAAATACACCCTATGCAATTTTTTTGCTGCTGAGACTGAGCAACTCGGCCTCCCAACCTGCCTTTGGCTGCAGGCTAGCACAGGGTTGACTCTCACAGCCCCGACAACCGCACCTGTCCCTGCTCTGTAAGCACCTATTCCTGGACTAGCTAATTATTCTGGCTAGACATGTTTAACCGCCCCTCTCCTCCACCCCTCCAGGGCTACTCTTCGTTCCATTTAGAAGTCTTTACTTTTTGTGCACTTTAAAGACCTTTTTCCAGTTGTGATACTATCTAGAACACGGTTCCAAAATGAAGAGGGTGTCCTTCCTTTAAAATGATGGGAGACTCAGATCCCGGTGAAATAAAGAGATAATCAAAGGGGAGGGGAGATAGAGAGTCCTCCGACACTGGGCCCCTCCAGGCTTGTGTGTGAAGGGGCAGGGGAGCACGTGCCTGGTGCTGCGAGCCCTAGAGGAGGAGGTGAGGGAGGTGCACGGCTATTGTGCTGCCAGCCAGGCTGTCAGGCCTGTGAGGGAAGCGTGAGGCGGTGGTGGAAGACCTTGTGTTGTGCTGAGAACCTGGATTTCATCCTGCTGCCAAAGGAGCACCAGCAAAGACTTTGGGTGAAGGGCTGCTCCCCGGAAACATTTGCCAAGTGGAGGAGGAACAGGAGCAAAAGAAACCATGGTGGGAAAGCCCACGGCAGCCCATATATATGTATAATGCACACATTAATAATAATGAAAATATTAGATGTAAGTAAAGCCTCTGAAACTGTGAGGTAAAGGTGCTACCTACTCCTTAATTAATAGCGTGTCCTAGAAACAATTCCAAGGCTCTAACAAGGCTTTTAGGCCTGTAGATATTCACAGAACATCAGATGCTGCATACTGGTTGAGGTTTTTCTTAAATAAACGAAGATAGGGGAAAGATTTAAAGTCCCAGGGACATTATGGAATTCATGATTGGAAATTAGAGGAAAGTCTAGACTTATTTTTCCAACCCCTCAACTTTGTAATGTGGAAGTATGTATTACCACATTTATACTATTTATTTACCCATTTGTATGTGTTGAATGAATGAATGAATGAATGAATGGAATCCACAGTGCCCTTGGTTCCAGGTGCCTCTGGGTAAAAGAGCCTCAATCAGAATTGGGAACAGAGCAACTGGTATCTCTTATTTTGACAAACAGTAACTCTGAACAGGCTAACCAGATAGATTAAATGACCAAAAACATACAACTTTTAATCAAAGTTCTGGGGGAAACCATGAAAAATGTGTTTCTTCTTGTGTGTCAAGAAAGGGTTGTCCACCAACTCCCACAATAATACTCACAGGGCCTGGTGCAAGTCACTACCTACCTTTCACTGGTTATGTGACCTTAGATCCTCCTTGCTTCGCCTTAAATAGGATGTTCTCTGCGGTGCCTTCCAGCTTACGTGAGCTGTGTAATGGTATGTGTGAGGTGTGTTCGTTAAGCACAGTGATGGAATTCAAGTGTGAGTATGGCCCCTGTCCTGTAGGCCTCAAAATACACACAACAGAAAATATAACCAGCAAAACAGGAAAGACTATGGGTAAGTTCCAAACCCTAAGTTATCTACTAAATGTCGTGGGAGGTCAGAGGACAAAGATGGTTAGAAATGGAGCTTGACTGGTTAGAAAGGGCTTCGCTGGTTAGATTCAGACACGCAGAGCATGCAGGAGGCGGTTCAGTTGGAGAAATCATAAGAGAGCAAAAACACAGAAACGGAAAGCAAAGCAGAGAACCTTCCTGGGAAGAACTGTTGAATCGGAGCTTCTCAATTCACATGGCACCAGAGAAAACCATTCGCGTCAGTCAGCCATCATCTCAAAGTGCCAGGCAGGGTGAGGGTGACTCCGGGAGTGCCGGGCTTGGGCCTCCTGCTCTTATTACAGCCCCACAACTCGACGGGGCCTGAGTCCAACGCGTGTTGAATGGGTCCAGAATCATCTGGGCATTGGAAAGTGCAATTTTCAACTACAGAGAAAAGGAGTGTTGAAACCCATGTTGACATAAGCTTTCAATTTATATATTAGAATATCATGGGCTAAGGCCTCTGTGATTTTTTTCCTTTAAGCCAATTTCTAGTTATGCAGAAGTATAGTTTTACTGTACCTATAGGCTTTTTCATCTCTTCCCTTTCAGGGTCCGCCTACAGAGACCTAACTATAAACACACATGAGCACTGACCTCTATTCGCACCTTCTTGTGCATCTTAACCTTTGTTTAATTGCATGTACTAATTCAAACTTCATTATTCTTTCATAATTGTTCTGGGACTTGTTTTTCCATTC